TGTTGTGACGGTGTCCCGGTCATGTTGTGATGGTGTCCGGGTCATGTGATGCTGGTGTCCTGGTCGTGTTTTGATGGCGTCCCTTGGGTCATGTTGTGATGGTGTCCCGGTCATGTTTTGATGGTTTCGCGGTCGTGTTGTGACGGTGTCCTGGTCATGTTGTGATGGTGTCCGGGTCATGTGATGCTGGTGTCCTGGTCGTGTTGTGATGGCGCCCCTTGGGTCATGTTGTGCTGGTGTCCCGGTCATGTTGTGATGGTGTCCCGGTCATGTCTTGATTGTGTCCCAGTCATGTTGTGATGGTGTCCCGGTCACGGCGGGTTGCCAGCCCAGCTGCGGGAATCTCGTCAGGTTTGTATCCCAAAACAGACTAAGGCACAGAACGGATTCCTTGGCATTGAACATGTTCGACCGATCTCGGTCCTTTGTATTTGGTGGCGGACGTATGTGCCGCTATGGTGCGAACCCCTAGTATGCGGAACTGGTGCAAGAGCTTTCTTCACCCGGCGGTGTCGCACGGAGCTGGCGCTAAGGGCGCTGATGAAATGGCGTCGTCAATCCAGGAGGCGCTCATGCAGGGCGGTTTTTTGGCTACGCTGGATTGGTCTCAGGCCTATGACCGGATGAGGCCTGAGGCCACTATGCAGGCTCTGCAGTTGCTTGGATTCCCTGCACCTTGGGTGGCCTTGCTCTCCCCAAGGGTGCCCGGTGGCACCCATGATCTTGGCCATCTGGACGTCCGCTGGGATCAGGTACGCGGCCTCTCAAACGAGATCCTTTGATGTTCAGCATTTTGCTCACATGGACGACAGGACCTTCTTCTGCAAAAAACTTGATGGCGTCAAAGCCGCGATCGATGCTTGGGCTACGTGGTCCCGTGAGGTCGGGTTGAAAGAAAGCCTCACCAAAACCCAAATTTGCGGGAAAACCAAAAAGCAGCTTCAAGAGATTTCAGTCCCGATTTGAGAGTGTCAGGCCCGGGCGTATAGCCCTTTAGAACAAACTCGCATCAAGGATGCTTTAATTTGTGCTCGTTTTCTCCAAGTCGTGCCTCTCTCGTGGTCCTTGATGATCAGCTTTCAAACCTTCGTTATGTCGAAGGCCAGTTTTGGTTGGGTTGGTAAGTGGCCCACCCAGGATACAACGAATACGTTGTTCGGTCGGCTCGCTGCTGCCTTGGATTCTTCCCGGGGAGCGGCCAGACAGCTTCCGAAGCTCTTCTACGGAGCCATTAGAAACGCAAAGACGCCTGAGCAGAAGCTGAACTGGGTGACATTGGGTTTGATCACTTTGTTCAGATTGATTTAAAGAGTTCAAGAAAGGAGTTGGAAACGAATGGTGCTGTGAGAGCCGCCTTCCTTGGCTCCTTTGTCTCGACCGCGGCACTTTAGTGCATGTCAGAAAGCAGATTACCATCAGTCACCATTGAACAGCAAGGTATCGAGACACATTGCTTCAACGATTGATCGCCTTTGGCAGATTCGACACAACAAATGATTTGCTGGTTTCACACTGAGGACTGCCGTGTACTTGCTCGTATACGCAGTCTAAGGAATTTCACCCAGGTTTTCTGCAGCATGGATTGTGCGGCGGACCCTTTGCCAGCTGCTCGCATTCTTCGGGCGGCAGCTGTGATCAACTTCGACGACGAAGAAAAATGCAAGATTCGGCCAGTTCGCTGTTTCGAATGCAACAAGGAAATGCGCCGCTTGCTGATCCAATCAATTAAACCCAGAGCCGAGATTTGTGGGATCGTGGTGCTTCCTTTTAGACTGCCATGCTTTCAGCCGAAAGCAGGAATGACCAAAAAGCTGTCGTTGCGCTGACAAAGGCGTGTGGAGGAAAAACCGTCGAACCAAGGAAGAAATGGTTGATGTGTTGAAAACGGCAGCTGTTTCCAGATTTTGCTTTTTGTCCCGGCTTGTATCTTGCTATTGGGGTCTCCAGCTGGGCTAATTCACCCAACAAGTGGGCGGTGTTTTTGCGGAGTTTTTTTCCAACAACGGTGGCTTTACTACATATAGGGATTTTGTCTGTTTTCAATGGCTTTACACTAGTAAGGACAATGTTTTTACAACACCAGGTCAACGGACCTCTTGAACATTGGTCGACGGCCGCTCGGGCGTCCCGCGCCAGGTGGTGGCGCAAGCTGGCCTCGACTTCCATGTGGCTTGCCGGAAGGCGCCGCACTCCAAACGGCCTGGCACCTTACTGCGCTTCCTGCGCTTTGGCGGATGGAGATGGAGATGGGTGCAGGGGGTGCCGGGGGGTTGGGAATCTGGTGTGAAAGAGAGCGGGGTAAAGTGAGGTCAAATGAAGGGGGGAAGCCCGACTGCAGGGTTTGGTTTCCAACATGGGTTGGGCCGGTTGGGTGTTGAAGCCAACGCTATTGTGTCTATGCCAACACCAAAGCCAAGAATCCTTCTGGGTGGTCACCCTTTTTTGCTTCAGTTGGTGGCTGGTGGCTTCAGCTGGTCCTGGTGGGAAGAGGGACTCGTTTGCTCGCCTCATTTTTGTTTGTGCTGGAAGGGCAGGTGATGTTTGTTGCTTAGTCGTGCTCCGATCGGCAGTCTCGTCCGACTCCTTTTTTGGTCAAGGGACTACGAGCAAGTGAAGATGATGTGTTTCAGGGGTTTTGTGAGAGGATCGGGAGTAGTTTTATAACGTGTTTTTTGTTGTGTGGCTTTCCCAACTCACTTTCTGATGGGCACGGCATGTCTGACAAAAAACACACCCAATCCAGGTAGCGGCGGTAGGGCCGGGTGTATGACGGATGTCTCAGACGGGTGCGGTCGACCTGTTGCGATTGGACCAGTGCCGCCAGTGACTTGACCAAAAAGCGATAGAAAACCCGTGTCGAAGGGGTTGAAAAAGGCGATGAAGCCTGACTCAGCCTTCAACAGAGCAGGATGTCTTTGGTTTGGGCACTGCAAGGTTTTCTTGCAATCAAGGCCCAGATCCAACTCGAGAACCTCTCAGTAGGTAGACACTTTTTCATGCCGTAGAGACCTTTGGTAGAGAAAGACAACATCCAAACTGAATCCAAACGCTTTCTAAAAGTGCGCCGTCTATGTCGATGTTAGGAGGCATCTTCTTCTCTTGTTCATAAAGACAAGAAAGGGTCAGAATGCTAGAAATGCATTGGGCGATGCAGGAGGTAACTAAATCCACGGAACTCATTGGAATACAAACGCCTGAACATTAGGAGAAGTAAAGGCAGGTCTGATTGTCGTGTCAGAATACTCGTTCACCGCTTCATTGTGTTATCCAAGGAGAGCTCGAAACTGGAACCAAGAGTGGGGGCGCCTGGTATTGTTTCTCCACCAGGCAAGTGGAGTACCACCCGTCAAAGATATGAGTTAGGTCGTACATTTAATGGGTGACATATTATGAGGCTAGCATAGCATCGACTAGCCACTTATCAAGGCTGATGAGAATCATGTGTTCTCATCGATCGTTTGGCTTTGGGTTTGTTTGGCCCAAATGCACCCTTGTCCCGGATTCAAAAGCCACCCTTTCTCAACGAGATATTGCATGATCTTCTTGTATTTTTTGAGGCTAGGCACGACATGTTCAGACATACAGACCACTGAGAGGCTCCGACGACTGGGTCATCCCTGGGTCCGGGAGTGTGAGTCAGAGAGGTCCCTGGATCTTGTGAGTGTGCCTTCCACTAGATCTTGTCAGAAAAGATGTGCCTGGAGCGAAGCACAACGAAGGGATGAAAACAGCGGGACGTTCTTTTTGGGCTGCGAAGGGACCGGTCGCCGGTCGGATCTGGCATAGCTGGGACCGAGCAGATTTTCTCGCTTCCAGAGATCCATCCATTTCTTTTTGGGTTCGGTGCCGGATGTTTATCTGTTTTCTTTTTGCGAAGGATGTCCGGTAGGGGTTCACCGTATTTGAGTGTGCATGAAGCACCCCTCATGGATCCCATATGGCCGACTTTCCACTACACATCGTGCTCGGGTGCGCTCGGTGCTCGGTGCTCGCTGTGACTCTTGAACCTGGGAATGTTTGTGCCCCCTAGCTCTTGGCAAGTACGCGTGGTGCTTTGGCCAACTTCAACCGCCAAGTGCTTTCTATTTTTTTTGTTTTCCCAACTGCCCAAAGCTTAGCTATGGCATGATATGGCCTACAGTCGGCTTCAGTTGGCCAGAGAAGCTATCGAATCTGCGGCTGTGCTCGAGGCTCTCACTGAAGCTGCTTCAGGAGGCCCTCGACTGGCGTCGAGCCACTTGGCAAAGTTCTCCACCCTCGAACTGGTTGGCGGTTGGATCTTGTAGGACACTTGAGCAAGCGCCAAAACGTGCCATGACCAGTAAAGGGCGGTCGTGTTGATGGTTTTTGGAATTTTCTCAAACTGGCGCAAGCGACCATGCCCCCGTCAACAGCAACCATGCCGCCCCCGTCAACAGCAATTGGAATATGTTGCGTTAAAAGTGTGGCCGGGACCTGAACAAGCGAGAGACCACACGTCCACGTCCCCTTTTCAAAGAGAACATATCCAAAAAGGTAACACAGCTTTGTGGCTTTGGAGGTTTTTCTCACAGGTCCCTTTATCTCTTTTGTTTTCTAAGTTTTCTCCCTCAAAAGCGATCACCTTGTTGAATGATGTCCTCTTTGATACACGACGGGCTTGGCAGATGCTCACTTGGTTCCTCTCTTAACCACTTGACACCTGCCCCATGCATGGAGGTCCCAACAGTCTGCTCTCCACCCAGTGTTTCTATGGTTATATATTGGGCAGTCGCCTTTCCACTACAAGCACACGGGGTTCCCTACTGGCGTACTGAAGGCGAAGGGTTGCCATGCCCATCTGGGCATCGGAGGGTGATGACCACGGGTCAAATGAATATACCAGGATCTACCAGGGGAACCGTACCAAGGATTAGGGCCGGGTGCCAGCATGTGATATTACTTGAAGAGATTGACCTGAAATGCAGCCGCCTGGTCTATTCAGGAAATCGGTGAAAGTTGGAGTCCAGCCCTGTCCACCCATCATCCCCAGCCACAGCACCAACCGTCCAGCCCTGTCCTGGCTATCTATGCGCTCCATTTGATCAAGGACTATCAACTGGAGGAGAAGCTTGAGGCCAAGGGATGGGAGTGAAGGTGGGATGGCTGGATCACGGACGGCCAGGGTCGACGACCAGGTTGGACTAGGGAGTGAGCGAGCTGCTGATGTGGGCACCCAACAACCAGCTGGTGCGGATCCGGCTCTCACAAGTAGCGGTGTTTCGGCCATGGAAGGCCTTCCAAAAAACGATGACTAGTAGCTTATTGTTTCTAATGGCTTTTTGTTACTACTAGTAAGGCACCTGTTACTACTAGCGTGGCACCTGTTACTAGTAGAGTATCATTACAGATGTTGATGTAGATGAGGTAGATGATGTTCTACCATGTTCTACCTCACTGCTCATCTACCTACGAAGGTGCGCCCAGACGCGCGTGGCCTGGGCCTTGGCCACAGAACCCCCTCCCTCTCATTTGCTCACAAGATCCGATAATTATTGTCCAGGGAACACCCAACCTCTATATATATATATATATGTGAATCGTGACATGGCCGTATGAACCGCAGGAACCCGATTGCTCAGGCATAAAACGGGCGCCGGTGCGATGCCCCGGGTGGGGCTACCGCTGCTACATTGCCACCCGGGGCAATAGAGTGACCGCGGCTGGTCACGGCGACATGGCGTCATCTTCAGACCAAGGTCTGAAGAGGTTCGGTGGCGAAGAAGAGGATCCTGGTAAACAGCTGAAGAAATGGAGGACCTGGGCTCTGGCCAAAATGATGACATTTAAGGATTTCAAGAAAGAGTCCAGGGGACCATGGCTGTTGACACTCCTCGACGGCAAAGCATGGGATGCTGTGGAGCATCTTTCGTTGACAGAGCTCGCCACCGCCGACGGCGAGCGAATGCTGTGGGAGACCCTCAGCGATCGGTTCCCAGAGAAGGAACAGCATGATGTGATGGGAGAAGTGTTGGGGGATGTGTTCGGCCTGGTGGCCGCAGAAGGAGAGTCCATGAAGGTGTGGACCGCAAGGGTCAAAGAGACCTTTGACATTTGCAAACGCAAAGCATCAGTGGAGTTCCCTCCAGCCGCTCGAGGCTGGGTCGCCTTGCATTGTGCTGGATTGAATGAAGAGCAAAAGGCCATCGTGAAGGCCAAGACACAGGGCAGCTTAGATCATGATGCGGTCTCGGCCGCTCTTCGTTCGTGCTTTCCACTGTATAAAGCCTCTGCAGCTCGCAAGAAGAGTGCCTCCGTGTTCCAAGCTGAACTGGTCACAGGTGAAGATGCCCTTCCTGCTGAAGAAGAGGACAACCAGTTCCAGGACGTCGAGGCCTTTTTGGCTGATCATGATGTTGAACCCAGTTTTCACGATGATCTGGTGCTTTCAGAAAGTGAAGCAGCCGAGGCCTTGGCGGTGAGCTGGAAGGAGAGACGCAAGGAGATTGCGAAGGTCCAACAGTCACGACAGTTTGGGTCGGTCTCTTCATCCTCGACAACTGGCACGGCTCGACGACAGTTTCGAGTACAGGTTGAGGAGCTGAAGAAACGTACCAAGTGCCGCCGATGCGGCAAGATTGGTCACTGGCAGAAAGAGTGCAAGGAGACAATCAAGCCTTCTCCAACGACTGGGGTCAGCTATGTGGAAGCCACTTCAAGTGACACTCTCGTGCCGGCCTTTGTTGGAATGACTGAGTGTTTGTCTGCTACAGAGAGCTTGCATGCATCCCTGATTTCGTCGCCGGGGTACGGCATTGTTGATTCGGGGTGCGGTCGTACATTGATCGGACGCAGTACATTGCAGCAGTTGGAGAGCATGATTGTTGACAAGGGCTATGCCAAGCCTGTCCGTTATGCCACAGAGAACACCTTTCGCTTCGGCAACGGTGCAGTGGAAACGTCAACTGAGGCTGCTCGAATTCCTGTTGGCGTTGGTTCCCAATATGGCATCATCGACGCTGCAGTGATTGCCGGAAGCGCTCCGTTGCTTCTGGGACGTCCGACATTGCAACGTCTGCAGGCTCAGCTGGACTTCTCTGCTGGGAAAATGACCGTGTGTGGCAAGGTGACAGACATGATCACCAATGAAGCAGGACAACTGTTGGTTCACATCCTCTCGTATCCGCCCAACAAGCCTAGTGCACCTGCAGCTACTCCGCAGATTGAGCCCAAAGTGAAAGCAAAGTCCATCGAGCTGGACTCCAAGGCTGGAAGTGTGAAAACAAAAATCACCCTCAAGAAAAAGGAATGTCGGTCTTTCTTGGCTCAAACCAATCGATCCGAAGCTCGCTCGCAGTCTCGCATTCTTGTCGCTGAGCTTTTCTCACCCCCAAGATTTGCTACAGTAGCTAAAAGTTGGGGACATGAAGGCCTGTCGTTCGACATACTCCAGGGTTGGGACTTGGAGGATCCACGAATTCAAGAGAAAGTCGATCGAATGTTAGATGAGGCTGCACCAGCATTGTTAGTTGTGTGCCCTGAGTGCAAGCATCGAGGTGGATGGGACCACCTCAACCGACGCTTTCGCACTCCACTAGAACAAGCTCGCCTGATCCAGAAGTCCCGTCGGCAAATTCGTTTCTGTGTGCAACAGGTACATAAGCAGATCAAACGTGGGGGAGATTTCATTTGGGAACACCCACTGGGATCCGAGATTTGGGAAGAACCCCTGGTCAAACCCCTGAAACGAAAGTATGGACTCAAGCGAGTGGATATGTGTGCATATGGGTTGAAGTGTCCTGATTCACAGTTGCCCATTCTCAAACCCACGGGTCTGCTGATGTCCACATCAGCCGAGAGGGACTTGAGCCACATCCGAACATGTCCAGGTTGCGCCAAGCATAGACCTATTGCTGAAACTGTTTGCGTCAGAACCCAGTCAATCTGGCATGGATACAGAAGCGCTCCTGTCGGAACTCGATGTGTCCTGTCTTGCAGCGGAACCCATCGCTGCTGAACCTGTGGCAGCTGAGATGGCTAGAGCCAATGAGGAAGAAGAGCAATCAGTGTCAGGAGAATCTCATGAGAATGTGAAAAGAGCACTGAAGCGATTACACACTATAATCTAGGCCATCCGAGCAATAAAGATCTCGTTCGTATCCTGAAACATAGCAAAGCCTCAGAGACAGCCATCCGTCTGGCCCAGGATTTCTCGTGCCCAGTGTGCCAGAATCACGTGCAACCGTCCAGCGCATTGCCAGCAAAGAGCTCACGTCAATGGACGTTCAATGATCGTATTGGCATGGATGTGAAATATTTGCCTGGATGGAAGCCGAATCAACTGGTGCCATGCGTGAGCATCGTTGATTATGCGACCTCACTTCAAGTCATGGCTCCGATCTTTGAGCGTGAGTCGGCCGAAGTGCTGAAAGGAGTCCTTCGAGATTCTTGGATATCGTGGGCTGGTCCGGCTCAGCAGCTAGAGATGGATCCCGCCAAAACCAATCTGAGTGAATCCCTAGGTTCCTTTTGTGAGTCTTTAGGTATAGATCAAATGTTCACGGCTGCTGATTCGCATTGGCAACTAGGAAAGGTAGAGAGACACGGTCAATGGTTTGCGAGGATCTTTGAAAAGGTCATAGATGAGTGTCGACCTACATCCGCTGAAGAATTCGTTGATTGTGGTCTGCAAACCCAAGTAGCAAAGAATAGCCTCATCACAGAACAGGGAGCAAGTCCATATCAACTGGTGTTCGGTCGAAACCCCAGGGTGCCAACTGATCTCCTCCAAGAAGATCCACATGTAGCGGCCTCAGATGCCATCCTCATGGACAGTGGAAGCCAACGGTCGAACGATATCCGTCAGAAAGCACGTCTCGCGGTGCTGCAGTGCCAAGACCATCGCGCCCTCGGGCGGCGCTCCGTGCTCGACCTCGGCCTCGCAAAGATATTCAGTCAGGGGATTGGGTATATTACTGGAGGTCACAGAAATGGGATCAAGGTAATCTAATCAAAGGGGGTAGATGGCATGGTGCCGGAATGGTCCTCGGTCGACTGGGAGTGAACTGGATTGTTGCTCATAGACGTAGTCTGTTTCGTTGTTCCCCCGAACAGGTGAGACCGGCCAGTGATGAAGAGAGAGTAGTCGCTCAGTTCGACTCAAATGAGCTTCTGGGTATTAAGAACCTCCTGGAGAAGGGTCAATTTCCGAAGGGTCAATTCGTCGATCTAGTGAACTCTGACAATCCCCCAGAACCAGAGCAAGCTTTCGAACAAATCCGCAATCAGGCAATTCGAGCCCAAGAACCCCTGACTGCAGCAGAGATTCGAGCAAGCCAAGTTCCAGAGCAGGTAAATGCGACCTCTCCACCCGTGCCCATGGACACGAGTGAACAGATCGAACCGGTCCCTTCAGTCAGGTCTCGGACAGAAGATTATGGACCCATCCGTAGGATTAGGCACTCCGAGAAATCTCCACCTCAGTACCTGAGCCGGCCACCAGTCATGGCCCAAGATGATTTTGCTGAAATGATGCAGGAAGTGATTCCGTCCCTGATAGAACGGCATCTCCAAGATCATGGTCCCAGTACAGAGGTAGAAAGCACAGTGAGTCCTCGAGGGACCAGCTCTAAACGAGAAGCCAGTCAAGATCCCTCAGCTGATTCACCACCACCACGAAAGCTGAAAACAGGTGACGAAGATGATATGCTGCTTAGTGAAGTGTTGTCTGCCGATGTCATCCGACACGACAAGCTCTATGGACGAACGTTCATTGAGACACTCACTGCTGCCTTCTTGCAGAAACGTCAACAGAAAGAAATCAAAGCTTATGGAAATGAACCTGACATGCAGCAAAAAATCGATGAATCCAAAACCGGGGAGTGGGAAACACTAGAGGGTAAGAATGCTGTTCGGGTCTGGAGAGGAGCACAAGCAGAAGAAATTCGTCGTCGGTTTCCCGATCGTTTTATCGGAAGCCGCTTCGTGGTGATCAACAAGCAAGATGAAGATGGAGCTCGAATCAAGAGCCGCTGGTGTCTTCAAGGACACTTGGACCCTGATTTTCATGACAAAATCACTAGTGGAGCCTGCCATAGTCCGACCATGCATCCTGTTTCACGAGCCTTGTTGTTGCAAGTCATCGTAAGTAGACAGTGGGTTCTTCAGCTAGGAGACGTCAAAGGAGCTTTCCTAGAGGCAGGTCCCATAGCTAAGAAGTATCGGCCACTGTATGCTTCTCAACCCCCAGGGGGTGTACCTGGTCTGGATCCTAATGATGTGATAGAGGTTCTTGGAAACGTTTATGGGTCCAACGACGCTCCAATGAACTGGTGGGGAACGTTCGATGAAGCCGCACGTGCAAGCTCGTTTCGTCGATCGCAATTCGATAGCTGTCTGTACTTCTTGCATGATCCAAAGACCGGTGATTTGTGTGGTATCCTAGGCTCACATGTTGACGATACCATCACAGCAGGAGAAGGTCCACTGTATGAAGATGCCATCGCAAAGCTCAAGCACACAGTCAAGACACTGACACCAAAGAGATCTCGTACGGCCAAAAAGAATATGCTGAACACATGAGACCTATAAACATGACCAAAGAGAGAGCTCGTCAGAAAGAGTCACTCGCTACAGATAGAGAAATATCCGTGCTTCGGGCTGTCAACGGCGCAGCCAACTGGCTGAGCAGTCAGAGTCGGCCGGATCTGTGTGTGCAAACATCATTCTCTCAACAGTGTTTTCCAGAGCCCAAGGTAAGTGATCTTCATTGTGCAAACCAACTGGTGCATCGAGCAAAACAATACAGTGGGGTAGAAATCACGGTGAAACACATCCCATGGTCTCAGTTGGAATTGTGTTTTCATTCTGATGCAGGATTCGGTAATGCAAAGGGTCATAGTACTCAAGCTGGATACATCGCCGCTTTCGTAGGTCCAGGACTCCAGAAAAACCAAGAGAGTGTTTGGTCCCCTTTCTGTTGGAAATCATATAGATTGCCCAGAAAAGTAGCATGTGCACTAGGAGGCGAGGCTCAGGCATATTCAACGGCCTCAGCAGTATGCGAATGGATGTCCCTCATGCTTGCAGAAGCTAAAAACGGACCTTTCGACTTGAGGACATCGGAACAAGTTCAGGACTTTCCACCTCAATCCAATTCGCAGTTGAAGTTTCGTGATCAGATCGAACGTGTGCCAATTACAGGTATCACAGCTTGCAAGTCCTTGTTTGACAATCTCACTTCGGTCTCTGCCATATCCAAACAAGAAGATAAAAGGATTGCTATTGACCTAGGTATAGTGAAACAGTCAATGATTCGTTCCGGCCTTAAGATCAGGTGGTGTCCGACGGAACTGATGCTAGCTGATGGTTTAACAAAGCAAAGGATCAGCAGGAAGCAGCTGACCTCCTTCGCTCAGCCTTGTCCCTTGGCAAATACCAGCTGCATGCCGAAGCTCAAGTGTTGGCACGCAAAAAGCAACTGAGAGAAGAGCGCACAACTCGAAGGATTCGACAACAACGTATGGAAGCCGAGCATAAAGAAAGAAAGAAGCAGAAATGGATTGAACGCCAGGAGCCACAATTGTGACCTCCAAGGATCTGCTTCGCTTCCACATTTTTGTTTGGGTGAGTTTGCATGAATTTTATTTGATGTTTGGGGTGAGCATGCCATGTGATGCTGCCGAACAGGGTTATAGAAATCTTGCTCATAGCGTTGTCGGGTGAACCCGATGGCAACGGCATGTTGGGGAGTTGGAACACTCAGGACAATCACTGAGTGCCGTCATAATATGAATTCATAGTGTTTGTCAAGTTGGGGGCCAAGGTTGATCTCGGAGAGCACACATCGATCGTTCGCATCGCAGGGGTTGTGATTTGTATAAGTCAAATCCAAGAAAGCAACTGTTCGCAGTGGCACAGGGGAAGTCAAGGCTTGTCAGCTTTGAATGCGATGAACATGTCATGTGGCTCAAAAGCAGTGAAGCACGCTCGAACACCCTGATCCTCAGAGTGTAAGTGCACCTTTGCCCGTACCTGTGTGTTAAAAGGTGGGTCAGCAAAAAGTCTGATCCAATGTGCATGTCCAAGAGCGCTCCAGTGTCTAAGGAAGCGTATGACTCGCTAAAGGAGCTCATGAAGTCCGGCCAGCTTTCCAGTGTCCTTGCCCAGGTTAAAGATGAAGTTGATGCTGAACTGGATGCCGCCTTTGAGCCCTCGTCGTATGGAAGCATGCATGATGGTTCAAAACGCCGCCTGTGCTCCAATGAGTCAGCTCGCGACCATGGCTTCGAGATGGTGAATGCCTCTTCCGGACCCATGCCATCATCAACGACAGTTCATCATGCGATGGGAATGTCCGAGAAACACCAGAAGCCGATCCCACCAGGAAAGGCCAGTGGCAAAGAGAAGGCCGTGGTGTTGCCAAATGGCATCAGCTCCTTGACCGAATGGGGAGCCACCATCTGCACCTTGCCCAAGGTCAAGAGTCAACACCTCCGCTACCACGAGATGCTGACGATGAGCCATGAATCGAAGGACATGTGCAGCTACCTGCAGTGGGTTCGCACCTCCGGCATTAGCTCCGCCAAGGTGCAGGACCTGAAGTCCTATATGGAGGCAATGAATTTCACGCCAGGCCCTTCGTCAAGCAGTGTGACCTATCCTGGCACGCAGATCGTTCGCGAATTTTGAGATTCCTAGGAGTGTGAATCGTGACATGGCCGTATGAACCGCAGGAACCCGATTGCTCAGGCATAAAACGGGCGCCGGTGCGATGCCCCGGGTGGGGCTACCGCTGCTACATATATATACTGCATATATTGTTTTTTTTTGTTTGTTTTGTTTTGCCTTTTTCTTTTTGTTTTCCTACTGATCCTGCTGAGAGCAACTATTTATTGGGCCTCACATTCACATGGCCCAAATCTGGCAAAGAATCAATATTGAAGGCCTCGTGGGAAAGTGTTGGTGTGGAGACTGTAGTAGGTTCATAGCGCTTTCGCGCTTTCGCCGCTCCCTTTTCAGAAGGAGTGACGGACGCGGTCTGATCCACTGTTCACAAACCTTGAGAAGATTCTGAACACGCTGAAGGTATTGGACACTCCATGTGGTTAACTTCTTCAAAGATGATCTTTTTGGAGTCCCCTGACTGCCTGATCAGATCGGCCTGACTGCCAGTTCTCACCGAAGCAACGAACGGTTCTTCTAAGGATGGTCACGAACTGAAGAACCAGGTGGTTCGCGAAAACCCGAAGACCGAAGAACGCCACTGCTCCCTCCAGTCTCCTGCGGTTTTTGGTCGCGGTGGGGTTCCGGTTCCCGCAAAGCCCCGCGGCGTCAACAAGCCACCGTCGTTGAGGGGTGGTCCAATGGAATAGCCTGAAACAAACGTGGATCTACATTGAACGCCCCTGAATGAAGGGTTCTGATTAGATCTATATATTTGTATGTTTCATCCATGATGCTGCACTACCTGTTGGCACTCTGGAAGGGAAGGGAAGGGAAGGGAAGGGAAGGGCTGTGAATTCTTGCAGTTCGGATGTCTTCCAAGTTCCATCCACGCGGTATGGAGCGGGAGAGAGGAGTCGTTCCGCCTCTGGGAGTCGTTCCGCAGCCTTTTGACCTGGGCGAGCGACTTGTGGTGTTCCACATGGAGGATCAGAACATCAGAAAGAAACCTCTGGAGGAATCTGTGTCCAATCGGGTTCCAGGCCTTCTTTTTTTCACACATCCGAGGTATGCGCGCCAAGCGCATCCCGAGGTGGTAGACTCTGGTAGACGTCAGGCCTTTCTGGTTCACCAGTGCTGTTTCCGGGAAGCCTTGGCGATTCCTCTGGTCTTGGTGCAGGTCCGAAGAAGAATCACCAGCATCACAGTGACGGGTGTCGACATTGTCGACGTCCTATCACTGTGATTTCGAACCGCCTCTTCTTCGAAGTTTCCCTTCCCCCTTCCCGCTTCAGGCCTGGCGCGCGGAATGGCAAGCCCAGCAATCGCGCCGGGTGCAGCTTTGGAGGACGAGCGACGGGTAGCGCAGCGCCGGGGGGTACGGTAGCGCCTCTTGGAGAATATATATGTTAATATGTTATTTATTTGTTCCCGGCGTTCGAAACCCGCAAGAAAGAATGACCCCATCAGATCCAGGTGTCAAGGCCAAGGTCTTTGGCCGCTCACATCCTTCGACCTGGTGGCTTGGTCGGTCGTTGAACTCACCTCTGGATGGACGAATTTCGCTGCAGCTGTTTCGGGGGGTTGGAGGCATTTCTATCGGCGGTCGTTTTAGTCACGCACTTCCAGGATGGAGCACCAGCTGTTGTCAGGGATCATAGATTTTATCATAGAATAGATCTTAAGTTAAGGCAATGTTCCTTTTACTTAGTCACTCAGTGATGTTTGGGTCGGAACCTATTTCATGAGTCTTTCACAACATGACCGTCGCAGCTTTCCCCCATGACCTGTGTCGCAGCAGCCCCCATGCCATCGGCCAGGAAGTATGGCTACATCAAGCAGATCGGCTTGGATCATGATGGCCCCATACCCAGAGATTGAACGAAGACATTCTCGAATTGGTCAATCCCAGGGAAAAGGGGAACACCCCCCGGGCAGAAACGCAAGCCCTTTGCTGAACCAGGGCTGTTGCTTGCAACTGATGAGGGTAGATGCATGCAGATGATGTTGGCCCTTTGCATTCTCAGGCATGCAACTGCCTGCTCCTCCCCGTCAAACTTGTTTTTGCAATAGAGTAACATGCCACAGGAATGATATGCAGAGCGACGGAAACTACTAGAGCCTGCGACCGACTGGCGGGGTCATGGTAAATACCATTGCCAGTCGAGGATCTGCGTGATACAACTGGCATCCAACAGATTCAAAAATCCACTGCGAACACATTCTATGTTGGGCTTCGACAACTTGATCGTCCTACAGTTCTAAGTGAAACAATTAAGTCTTCAGCATGGACAAGCAATGGAGGTTTGTTTCCCCTGCGTTCACCAGTAACGTGGACACATTCACCAAGTGTTTTTTCTTTAACCACTCTCAGTTGAAGGCATCGACTTGTTCTCTCAGCTTTTGTCGCCCTCAACGGGCAACAGGTAGAAGAGGCCCCTCTACTTCTTTGGTCACCTGAGTGGGTCGATCGTCCCCTTTTCTCACGCCGAGCGAGCTCAGGGCCTTTCCGACCCCCCCCAAGGCCGACCCACAGGACGTCTGCTCCGGACGTCAGACCTCCGACGCCGAGGCCTGCCCATCCATCTGCACCGGCTCTCGCAGTGTGACGCTGGTGGCTTGGCGCGTGAGGCGGGCGATGAGGCGGGCGAAGCGGGCGCGCGCGCGGGCGCGGCCGCGGCGAGCCCGGAAGTTCCCCACGAAGAAGTGACACTTTGCCACACAGCTTTCTTGCTGCGAAAGTCGTGGGTTGACTCCTCATTGTCCGATGCTGGAGCATTTGAGCGGAGATTTTTTTTGACATGAAAGGGTTTATACAAGATGTAACCTTCAAAAGGCTGGCGTAGGCAACCTGCTTGGGGACGTAGGCGGTCGTAGGCATTGTATGGTCCAATGTGTGTCGTAGGCGTTTGCCGTAGGCGACCGAAATCGACTGAAATAGCATGTCTTGAAGTCACCCAGCTTGTGTTTCTGATTCAAATTAGAATTGACAGTGTTTTTTTGTTTCAGTTTCTTGTAGCAGATGTCTTTCATCTCATAGTCTGAGACATGAACCAGGGCAGTTTGCAAGGGCACCTAGAATGACCACCAGAGAAACACGCAAGACATTGCAATGCAACCACACTACCAAGACTACCCGGGAGGTTAGAAAGGCCACTGTTTCTGTGTAAGAGGTGAGAACTCCCAACAATGTCCCAAACAACTCTTTTGTGTTGTTTTCCTGGGGACATTTTCCGTAGGCTCACCGTAGGTTCTCCGTACAGGCACCGTAGGCGAAAATGATTTTTTTTTCCCCCATGTCCGCTTGCCTATAATAGTACTCTCAAATAGATGTTAAAACCTGCTGTTCTGAGAAGTATTCCCAATGTCGAAGACATGGGGAGACTATACGCGTCAGTGCACGTCCCGCGTGGTATCGTCCCTCGCCCCCGAAGTAATGTCCAAAACTCATGATGAGCGTGAAGTCGTTGCTTGCTTGTCTTCCGTTGTGGAGCACATAGCCAATGAAACCAACTTGCCCATCGTAGAGTGCCAAGCTCATCATCTGAAAGATAAAGGGTCAGCTGCTGCGTAAACGTTTCCACTCGCAAGAACTGCATGGTACCGTAGGCAAATTGGAACAGTAATGCTCCAAAACCTCACGTTCGTTGATTTCCCGTAGGCGATGTGGAATAAACCATGTCTGCCGTAGGCTTTCACTGTGGAAACGTAGCCAAACCGTAGGGTTCTACGTAGGCACCCAAGGATGATAACACCACCACATCTTTAAAAAAATCCCTGCTCATTTGAGCATTTTGCGTTGTGTAAGGCGTGTGCAGGGCAAAATGCCATGTGGGAAACGAGGTGCAGTCGTTTCCGTGAGTGCGTTTTGTGTCATGTGCCCTGTTTGAGTAGTCTGCGATTTGCGTGGCTTCCAGGCCTTCCTGCTCTACCACTTGATGATCTTGGAAGACTGCCGCTGGGCATTCAATGTTGCTGCCTTGTGCTTAGTAGGGAATGAGGGAATGGATCCAAAGGAATCTCTATTGGGAGCTCATTCCCGTATTCCCTGCTAAGCACTAGTCAGGGTGTGCAAGACCCATTCGGATTTGCTTTGGATGCCGGAAGAATTATTTAGTGGGCTGGTGCGTCATCCGAACCTTCGAGTAGTAGTCAACTCAGCTCCCACGATGGACCCTCTATGTCGATCCCATGGTCCCATGCTCTCGCCCACCTGGCACCGGGGTATTGTGGATCATGGCACCGGAGTACCAACCGCTTGACCACCGAAAACAACCGACCGAACGGACTCCTGCAGGAGGTCCGGGCCCAGCCCACCGGGCACCGTGCCGGGCACCGGTGCCACGTTGGACTGAGGCTTTGAGGCGGCGCAGGAGCGAATGCTGAAGAGTGGGAAGTTGATCACGAATTTCGTGGACGTCTACGACCAAGGCGCGGGTTGAAACCGCTTTGGAAAGCGGTTTCGGTTTTCGGACGCGTGAGTTTTCGTCTGTTTCCGGTATGGAACGACGCAAGAATTCCGCGGGTTGGAAACCGCATTGGTCCCTGCTTTTGATGTTTTTCGCCTTTTTGGCCTGGTGCGTGGTTCTCTCAGTGTATGGTTTGTTTGGGAGGACTTCTGGTTGCTTTTCGGCTCACATGTGGGGAGGCGCAAGAGTTTTCAAACTAAACCCACAACAGCTTCCATTTGCTGAGAGGAAAGGAGTCGAGTTGGACAGCGAACGGGACCCAAGAACGAACCTCATATCGAAGCTCTGTTCATCCCTGTTGCTACTTGAGATTCTCCACAGCACCCCTTCGTTTGTCTTTACAGGGGACTGAGTCTTCCCTGAGAAGCGTAGGCGACTACGGCCTGGTGGATGGCTATTTGCGGCGTGGGTATAAGGCTTGGGAGCGCGGTCGCCCAGGGCGGAGGCAACGCTTTGGGTAATTGACCGAAAGTGATACCCTGGAGAAGGCGCCAAACCTGGAGAAGGTGAGATATGATTGAATTTTGTTGCCCTTCTTCCTGAAAAAAGCAGTGTATAGACATATACTACTACATAATTATTAGATCTATACTATATGAACTGATTCAAAACCTTGGTAAACATGAACAACCATTTGTGCAGAGTCGGGACTGGTTTATTTGTTCTGCGATTGAAGTCTTGGTTTAGAGGGTTCACCTCTGACTCACGGAAAACCCCGTCGTGATCTAGTGGAAAAAAAGGTAAGTCGTGGGTTGCAGAGAGTTCTTTTCAGTGCATTCATGGCGGCGTTTTGTTGCTGTATAGTTGGGTTATTGCTGGGCAGTCTCTATTGCGACCGTGGTGTGCAGGTTTCTTGAAACGGCGATTCTGTTTCCTTGTTCGGTATTGATTGCAAATTGTTGTGATGCGAAAATGCAATCTTATCATATTCTTTGGGAGGCAGCACGGCGATCATTTCCAACTTTGGCGAATGCTATGGACACGCAACAGAGTGGTGAAACCATGGGCTGGCAGTGATTGATTGCATGAACATCCATGGCGAATGCTGGCCAAAGCAAGACTGCCCTAGGTGTGAATTTCAACCTGCACCATGGAGTCCATGATGGAGTCTTTCTTCTTTCTTCTGGCATGACACAGGTCACGACCGCAGGCAGAGGTCACTCAGGCACCGCAGCGGTGTCGGTCGATGCGACGGAAGACCCACGGTCGATGCGACGAGGGTCGACGTCGACGGAGTCCCAGAGCATCTCTGCATTCGACCGTTTCGATCAGACCCATCAAACAGCGATGAGAACGTGTTTTTTTTTGTGTTTCGATGTTTTTAGGCCATCCGATCCAGATGGGCCGGATTTTGTGGATGCTTCACTCCTTTTTTGGAGGGTTTTGATTTGGGGATCCACATGGGCAATACAGTGGTCGACTCGTCGGCTGGAATGCGACTGGTCGAGTCGATTCTACCCAGGCCTTACAAGATGATGATTCCCATCCTGGACAAGGCGCATGGGGCCATGGGACGGTGAAATCCCATTCAGGCGGCAAGTGAACACCATGTGGGCATCCCCAGGCTGTGGGTTCAGTGCAAATCCAGGCTGTTCCCTTTGTTTGTTCGGGTTTTGTTGTGTTGTGCTGTGGGAAGATGCCGAGGGAAGCAGGAACTTATCCGGCAAAACCCAAACAAGAAAACACAAAGCCTTGCCTCCCCAACACCGCAGCCCTATACTAATGGTCGCATGCATTGATGTCCTCTTCCTGCAGCGGTGATTGTTGCCACTGCCCTGGTGATTAAATCAAAGATGTGTGTTCATCACCAGCGCTCAAACCGTGTTTTGCTTCAGGTCTTGACAAGGATTCCGATCTATCACATCTGTCACTTCGGTCTTAGACTGTCACTTAGCACGATTCCGATCTTGGGTTGGAAACGATATTTCTTTGGGGATCTCCATTGGACACCCATGAGATAGTCTAATAGTCCAGGTATATTCTCTATGATTGTCCCTCCAATCCTGCGGTGGCCAGCCGGTTCCGGTGCGGTCCCAGGTCTACCCGGAACGGGTGCGAGTGGCCTTCATCCTGAGGCAGAGCCGGGCTGGTTGGGCAGTGCTTTAGTTGGGTAGAGTCCGTGTGGCCGCTGTGGCCTGCCTTTTTTGAATTGATTACGTTTCGTTTTTGTGTCAGAGGTATGATATCTTAGGTGCCCCAGAGGTATGATATCTACGTGGATGTTTGTTTCGAGTCTACAGAGCCGATGTCCTTTTCGAGGATCGTATCGCTGAATCTCTGCAGCTGTTGGGATTGGACGATGTGTTTTTTTTCTTTTTAAGTATGTTTATCATTTTCTATTTATTTATTGTTACTATGACTACTACTATTGTTATTGTTGTTTTGTTTTCTTAATGATGGTTTTCCAAAAAGTTTCTACAGTGGTTGGACTTGACTAGCTGGCACAAGTTACCCCAAGTTGGGTGGTCGAAAAATGGATGCCACATTCTTAAAGACATTTTGGGGTGCCAGTGCCATCGAACCTCTGAAAACACTGTAAGAAGTTGGAGTTGTGGAGGGCATCAATGGTATCAACTGCTACGGCAGTTGATGGGTCAATTCACCGTCAACGTGAGGGACACTTCATAGACTCAATACTGGGAACATATGTGAACATAGAATATCTAATATAGAGGTTTTGACCGATGAGTTTGGCCCCGATTGACTGTCGCACCAACCTGTGACCGTGCAAGGTTGTTACAAATAGCAGCCACGTTTCAGAACCTGTAGGTGTTGAAGAAAGGATGGATGCACTACACAAGATAGACTATCGGACAAGTGCGTGTTTGGAGCCGGCCGGTGGCAGCCATTGTGAACCTTTTCCAGCAGTCAGTAAACCACATTCCATGCATATTTCGCAACCCAACCCCCCATCCACACCACAACACTAGCTGCTGAACAGGGTCTATGGAAGGGATTTGGCAGGGGTGAGGGAAATGTCACGACAAGGATTTTCCGCTTCCAGCTTGGCTTTTCGGAGACGCTAGACGCTTTGGCTGGGGTCTGTCCAAACCATCCAACGTCATCGCCGTTCAGCTCGAGCTTTTTTCGTGGATGCATTTAGGGTCTGTCCCAGGAAACCAGTTTAATATAGCAGTCCATAAAAGATGATCCAATGAAAAGACGCGTGTTATATATCCTCCCCCAAACCCAAGATCTATCAGTCAGGTGCCCTGCCGTCTTCGCCATCTTCTGGCGCCTAGTCGAGCCCTTCGTGCCGCCGGCCACGGCGGGGTGGGTCAGTTGGTGGTTTTTCGACACTTGGGTGGTCGGGGTGGTGGGCTCGTGGTTGGGGTTGGATGGTGGCCCGAATTCACATGGAAGCTGAAGGCTGATCAAGGTGGGCTTTGATGGTGGAGAGATTTGGGGTGATCGAAGATATCGAATCTTGCCGAATTAGGGCTAGAGAAATTTTGTATGTCACTCACTGGCAGTGGACAAGCTCCATTTTTTCAGGGTGGCTTTGCTCGTCGAACACGGTTGAAGAAGGTGAACTTGGATTTTCCAACGGAAGATTTCAGGATGTTTCCGCGACGTACCCACCCTGTGGAACCCCAATGACCCGCGCACGAAAGAAGAGGTGAAGAAGATCCGCATCAAGGGCTACTCGGCCAAGAGCTATGTTGGAGAGATGAAGGCGAGGGGATGCGCATGGGCGAAAAACACATGCTTTGGTGCCGCAGGTGGCTGCGAGAAAACCGAAGCATTCGACGTTTTCATCTTTTTTTCCATAGTTCGCTCTGTGCCTCTGTGCTGTGTTTGAACATCTGAAGATGCATGAAACGGTGTGTTGTGTTTGGGGCCCACTCCACCTACTGCAGATTTCGAGTCGCCCTCGGGCTTCGTCTCGGATCCTTGGGGTCGATTAAGCATGGTTCTTCTTGTGACGGATCCAGTCGTACCGAACCGAAGGTACAGTATATACTTGGACCCGAACGAAGCTACATAACAGTGTCTCCAATAAGCTTCTGAGGTTCGGTACGACTGGATCCCTAGCGCTTGTGACTAGTAGCCATGGCCTCCAACCTAATAGCTACTATAGTAATAAACTTGGTTGGTTGCGGATCTTGTTGCGGCTGGGATGGCCAACCCCTCGGGGTCGTTTGGTGCTTGCATTCCACTATCCCGGTCCTTTCAAACCCTGATCCAACCACGCTGCCTGTGGGAGCCCGCCAGGAACTCATGGTGGAATCTGTGATCCCGCCATTCTTAGGCGGGATCGGCATGGGTCGTTCCTTTGCTTTCCATATCAACCGGCGGAGGATGGGCTTGCTAGACCCGTTTCGGACGTGCCACGGAGGTGTTACGTCTGAAGAAGTGCTTCCGTCTGAGGTCGACCTGATTGGTACCCCACTGAAAACTCACATAGACCCTTATCCAACCACTGGTTTGTAGAGGAAAACAGTCTTTGAGGGTGCCATTCGACCCGGGTCCATGTTAGTTTTTGGGAGTGTGGTCCTTGGTTCCTGGTTGTCTCAGACTTGCGTGCAACGATGGGACTATTTAGGGGGGATGAAACCATCGTCCATCCATTTTCGAAGCTACTAGGGCCAGTAGGGGATCACTCATCCTACTCGGTTTGAGGGGCTCTGCTCCGCGCCAGCCGCCCTGGGAGGAAAGAATGGATCGAAACCATTAAGCAGCCACAGCAAAAGGAGGTCTTAGAGTACTGACCATTTTCCTCATCCCAAACAGGTGGTTTTCCACTTCCATGATCCATGACTATTTAAGGAAGTGTAAAAAGTTTTTGGAATTTTGGACCCTAAGACCCCGGATGGGGCGAGGATGGGGGATGTTTCAAAAAGATATCGCTTCTAAAGCTGACTCAGGTGGGTCGAACCACGTTTTTTGCCCGCCCTATCTCTGTAAGAGGTGGACCGCCATCGTGGCTGAAAAAAAAATGCACTTTGCATGCTCGCAGTCTGCGCAGTTCTGGTGGCCTCTCCCGAAAGATACATACAATCGGAGTTCCGCTTGCGGGTAACGATCCGCTTGCTCCGCTTCCTGTTTAGATCCTTTTTCTCGGAGGAGAAGCGCCTTCCAGCTAATATCTCACCCTAAACCCTAAACCCTTTAGTGCCATCATTACATTGTATCTATATAATGCATGATGACTTATCATATTAAAAACCGAGTTCGAGGTATGGGTCAATTTCAAGTATGTTTTTCATGCTTTGTTTCAAAGGCATTGGGTTTTAGAGGCATTGGGTTGGGGAGACCGACGCCTTGTCGGTTGATCTATCCTCCGCTCCCACAGTCTCGTTCCACGACTGGCTGATACGTATCGGCCGACCTGCCGACGAGACGGGCCAGGCCAGGGTCTTATATGGCCAGGGTTTGTCCTAGCAAAACATTCATGTAACAGTCAGTATATCAAGAACATCACATAACATTTGAACCAGGCCTCATCATGCTAACCATCATCATCCACAACCGCCCTGGTATTGGGGATAGACCCAACTTAGACGCACTGCCATGTCCTGGGAGACCGACGCCTTGCCGAAACCTTGAGTGAACTTGCGAGAACGAACGCTGAGGGTAGTCCATTTGGGATCTGGGAATGAACGCTGAGGTTTGTGTGGGGTGAATGAAATCAATAGCCCACGCCCAAATCCGACCAACACACTCCCTGAAATCATCATGGAGGTGGAAAACCACCACCAGCTGCTGTTTGGTATTCGGATTTCATGGTCATCCGAAAATTAGGGCCATGCCATCCACTTATCCATGACCATTTCAGGACCCAAACACACCTGCTGTCATCGACAGGCAGCGATGATCGGGCCTTGCTGACCGTCGGGCTTGCTCAGTTGGAGAAGCGAAAAGATCGAAAAGCAGAAGCTGCGGAGCTTCTGGTGGGCTCTCCCCTATCGTTCCAGTTCACGCAGAAGCTGCGTTCGTTGTAGACGGCGCCCATTCCGACCGCTCGACCGGTCCGGTCGTCGCTGGTCGGTGAACTCCACGGTCGGTGTGGTTTGAGTTTTCGGAAAGACACTTTCAACAGCTCAGGATCTATGGTCATGGTCATGTCATGTCCTATTCGCTCTGGCTTTTTGGAGGGTATGCCGCATATGGTGGCCACTAGGTCACTCGGCTTCTTCCAATCACCTGCCCATGTCGCCCCATCCGTCTGTGCCGTCGTCCGTGGCGTCGTCATTCAGACGCTGCATCTCACCCGGTTGGAAAACCCCTTGACCCAAGATCCCAAACACTGGACCGGCATCGGACCTAGTTATAGGACAAACCTATCATCTCAGGATGGCGAGTGGTCAAAGCACAAAGCACTGAGTGGTTGAAAAGAGTGGTCTTTTCTCCTCAAACGGTCACACCAGACCCGGGCGGGACCGCCACCGTTTTCGGGTGCCGCACTCAGACCGCTGAGCCCTGGGGCGGCTGGGTGCCCAACGGAGGCGCATCTGACAGACGAGAGGTCTGAGTGTCCGGCCGATCAGGTCTGAGACTCATTTAAAGAACGTGGTGTGCAAGCAAAAATTAGTTTTCTTTGTTGCACTTTTGAGGTTGTTTGGTTTCTTGCCAAGGAGGGTAAGGTCTTGATCATGATAAATGAAGCCTATATTGACGAAATGTGAAGATGACTCTCTGAAGAGCAGATGTGTTATTATTGTTTTTCAAAGCTTTGTAAGCTCTAAGGTCTTCGATGAGAGCTTGTACGGTCTTTGATGTGAAGAAACACAAAGAACCTCCATCGGTGAGAGCTAGGATTGGGTGCGATGGGGTAATGTTTTTGTTCAAGAAATATTGAGTTTGTAAAGTCTGGTGGAGATGGCAGTGTTCTACTCATCGTCCGGTTGATGAAGAGGAAGAATGACTATATATAGCTTATTTGCATCTTTGCAAATCCATGGTCACAAACATACTTACCGCACAAACACACACAAACACATTTGACTTCTTGTTTGCCAGACTATATCTCGATGCGTGCTTTCTTCTCGCCAGGATAGCCATGCTTGGTCTGGGCCACTCGGCACAGTGTTCGGAATCACGGAACTGGAAGGCAGCTCAAACGGAAGGCAAATGTCCCTCTAGTTCGCAGAAGCGACATGTCCGGAAGAGTATGATCGATTCGATGGCATTCCCAAGCACCATAGACCGAGCATCGCATCATGCATGTTTTCATTCAGACGAGTTGAAAAGAGGATCCTCCAGTGACCATTTTGTCATTTCCGAGCGGTGTTGCGTGGCTCGCGTGCCAGGCACTTGCGGCGCGTGGCTCGGTTCCTGGGGCTGGAGGCCGGAAGCGGAAGCTGGCGGAAGCCGGCGGATGTGCTTTGGTTCGGGACTGAATTCATTTTTGGGAAAGAGATGAGGTCAGAACTGAGGTGAGTTTGCTAGATTCAAATATTTTTCTGACACAAGATTTGTCTTGTCGTTGTGTTTTGCTTGCTGGTACTCTAGGATGTGTACAAGTGACGCGATGTTTTCTGATGATTGGAAGAGGTGATCATGAAAGAGTGCTTCGCTATTCCTTGTGTTCTCTCCCATAGAACAAGAGCGGCATTATACATACCAGGACCTTCCAAGAGGTGTCTATAAATAGCCTCTTAGAGGTTAAGAGGTGTCCAAAAACCACCGGACTTGGAAGGTCCTGGTATACACTGCAGTTTCGGCCGATCACTCTTGGCTCCGTCCCGGATGTTTGACTATGTCCGTCTTCGAGGAAGGCTCGCATGTCCGGGAGCTCCTTCAGCGAGGCTCCTTCAGCGTTGGCCTCAAGGTTGATGTTGCTGTGGAACCACGATCCGAAACTGCTGTTCGAGTCTCGGCTCTCGGTTCGTGATGAGTCGTACGTCGTACGCAATATCAATTCCTGTAGTAAATCGGTAAAACCATCAGTCAATCTATGAATTACGAAACATTAATTTAATTTGGACTCCTTTGATTTGGATTCGGATGAATGATGAATGAACAAGTCAAGTCGAGTCAAGAGTTTAGAGTCCCTGGGCCATGTTGCTCTTGAGTAAGATGAAGGTCAAGGGGTATCCGTGGGAGACCTTAAGCCCTAGGGTCCCAGCAAGAAGCTACGATCGTTCACTACGTAAGTCATAGCAAGGACGCTGCGAACGTAGCTCCTGGCATTACTACTATAGTACCAGGACCCTCCAAGAGGTGTCTATAAATATAGCCTCTTAGAGGTTCAGAGGTGTCCAAAAAACCACCTGTTGGAGGGTGCTGGTATAGGACAATTTCTTTGTTCCCACAAATGTCCATTCGGACATGGGTTCTCAACATCGATTTGGCTGAGGTGTGCTTGGGAGGATGATGGAGCGTATGCATCACTGAAGAGTGGAGTCTAGTCCTCTTTTCTCAGTCGAAATCTAGGGGGTTGGCATCCAGTCCATTCAGTCTTAGGAATGGACACGACTACCCTGGGCCTTCGAGTTTCGAACCACGTTTCTCGTTCGCTACCATGCGCCGGGTCAAACTCCGTGCGGAACTCATCGCGCGGAACTCCGCGCTGTTCGGTGGAGGTCGATGGGCTGAGCACTTGTGTCGCCGTTTCACTGCCGGGCGACACAAGGGTGATGAAGATGGATACTTGAGGTGTAGGCAAGCTGATTCCCTGTTCAAGAAGGGCACCAAATGATCAGCTTCCGATGGAGAAGCGGCCTCCAAACTATTTCCACCTGTTGTCTGTGCGTGTTTGGTTCCATAGAAGAGTACTATCCACCAGTCACTGTCAGTGGCGCATCGGCTTCGCAATCGGCAGAGCCCGCAGGGCAAGGAACCTGACCGGATGGTGAACGATGTTTCACGGGTTCTCGGTTCTCGTTTTCGTTGACCAACGAGAAACGGCTCTATCCATCACCGTCCAACGGCTCGATCTGCCATCGAAACGTGTCCTCCGTGCCGCGGCCCTTCGGCTGCGGTGCCGCTGTTTTTTGGAACTCCTCGCGCGTGCAAGCGCGTGTCGCTTTCGGTGGGGCGAGGCTGCTCCTTGGCGCAGGGCCATGAAAAGTACGCAAGCATGACGAATGAAGGGTAGGCAGTCTCACACTTCACTCATCACGAGGTTTTTTTTTTGGGATGAGGAACTTGGAATTTCTACTGTAGGGCTCCGAAGCGCCCATCTCCTCAGAAGAAGGCGGTTGTCTAACAAGCATCTTTGTTTCATGGAGGGGGCGGCCAGGAGTCCAAACAGGTTAGATTCTTGACCCTTTCACACTTGCACCGTGGAGCCCTTCTCCCTCAGCCGCTTAGAATGGGGCGCAGCTGTGCCGACACAAATTCTGGGCGCCTCATGGAGCTGTGCCAGAGCACGGAGGACCCTGCCCCCAAACAGTGAAGTGTCAAAAACCTCCACTTGGTCGGTGGAAAAGAGTTTTTCCAGGCCGTTCCATCCATTGTAAGTCTTGAAGAATCATGAAACGTGCAGTAAGTGCAGCTGCAGCTTCAGGCTGACATGATTTTTTTGGAAACCAGCTCGGCTGACAGCTCCGGGGCCGCCCTGTCGCAGCGGACGCTCCAAATCCATCTTCCCTGCCATGCGACGCTGTGCGAGCCGGACGCGACGCTTCGAGTTCAGCGCGCAGCAATGAGTGTGTATTCAATTAGGGAGACCTCCCCAAGGAGCCCCTGGAATAAGGGAACTAATATAGATCCAAAAACCGAATCAATGAAGATTCTAGCGACCTGACTGGGTACTGTAGGGTGCTCTCCGTGGAACTAACATGGAAGTGGATGGCATGGCCGCTTGGAAGACATGTATCGACGGAAACGCGCATCGTCCCAAACAACCCGCGTCGCGAGCCTCGGCACGCCGCCCACCACGCTCGCCTTAGCTTAGTGTTTTGGATTGTTTTGGCCGTGGGGAGCGGGTTCAGAAGGACATGATTTGGCAGTAATGTAGACTTTGTGGATGCCCCATTACCTGTAACAGTCGTCAAAAAGGTATCACTATTTTGGAGAAACCACCTATTTTATATATAATTAACCATCATCATCCACTGTTACAGGGAATGGGATATACCGTACATATACCCAACCTCTTCATATGAGGGGTTTGACAAATCAACAGTCTACATTAAGTCAGGATATTCTGAAATAGTTGGTGACCAATCTTTATTGTAAGCACTGCACGTAGCTCAATGAGTTTTTTTTTGCAGATGTCGTTGTTTTGTTTGGCATTTGCGTGTGATCAGAATGCATCAGAATGCAGGATATCGGAAACCTGGCACTTGCTGATTGCCTCCTTCTTCGTTGTGATGCCCTGAAATGCCTCCTTGTCATTCACCAGCATGTTCTTCCGGTTCACTTGGGCCGTCTCAGACAGCTGAGCCAAGACAGCTCGTTCCCCGTGAAAACGCGGATTCGCCGCTCCCCATGGCCGGTCACCCACCGGAATTTTTGGGCGTCGAAAAGCGTGACCGGACGGACTGGGAGGACGGAGGAAGGACCGAGAGACCGAACTGGAGACGGTCGTACCGGTCCAGCGAAATGAGAAGGTCCTTTCAAGTCCTTTCATCCATTTCATCCCCAATTCCAGCCCCTCCTCCAGCCCTATTCGGTCCCGTTGAAGAAGCCGGACTTGGCTCCGGTTTTCATCACCCTCCGGTGTTCGACGTCGCCTTCCGCCTGCCTTCACCTCCGGAAGCTCCCGTTCCTTCGCCGCATCTTCCTTCGCCGTTTTCGCGAATCCGGAAGCGTGGGAAAGCGTGGGTAAGCCTTTCTGAAGACATGGAAGGCGAGTCAGGGCCGTCAGGGGAGGGCAGTCGAGGGCGCTTCCTGGGTGGAATTGGTGGTGAATTGGCAGGTGGATTTAGTGGATGTGTCCGGTCAATTCTCCTTTGGGGCCGAACAAGCGAATCCAGTCCGCCTTTGGATCACCGTCGACCACGCAGAGTGTCTCAGAGACGCGCCGCTACTCTCAGAGGGCATTAGTAGCTTCTTGTTCGTAGCTACTTGCTCCTACTAGTACGGCCAGGAGCCCCGTTCGTAGCGTCCGATCGCTCCGAACGTAAGCGATGCCGTTCCGTTCATAGCTTCGGCCCTTTACTCGTGGATTCATGGGATCCAAGACTCGGCATGGGTCCGTTTTTTCTTTTTGGCCATCTACCTGGCAAGCCTTCGGGTGTGGGGTAGACTCTGCATCTCCTCGTTTTGGTCGCCAAAAGAGACGCCGTGGGAGTCCATGCGGCTCGTGGACTCGTCCGGTTTGGGGGGTCCTGGCGGCCTCGCATCTGGCCCTGCAAGGGATGTTTGGTCCAGGAATGCGGTTCAGCTCGTAATCCACCGAAATGGGGAACATTCAGTATGCCCGTGCTTTCCAAGATGGACATGGTCATGTGCCCAACGCTGTATGTCAGGACATGCCCAAGCTGTTTCTATACAAGTATGACATGCTATGAACATTCTCGTGTAAAAACATGGTGAAAATGGCAGGTCGGTCCCTCACAGGTCGGTCGACCTTCCCGGACCTTCCCGACCTGTTCGGGGGTTCGCGAGGAACTCGCGACTGCGAGTTCGGGTCACGCCGAGTTCTGCCCATCTCAGGTTCGGTCTTCGACCCCGCTGGCCCCCCCTGGCCCGGACCGGGCCAATCCAAATCGTTTCTGCAGGCTTTGCCCTCTCGCCGGCGGCCTGGACGCGGCTGGGGGAGGTGGGGCGGGTGGTTGGACGGCGAGGGAAGACGCCTCGAAGTGATATGGTCTTCATGGACCAAGGAGGGCCACTGCAGATTCTTTTCGTGGCTTAAGTTAAGAGACTCTATGGAGTAGACTGGACTTCTTGACACCCGCGCTCCGGATGAAGAGATCTGACGAGACTTTTGCATCGTCATGTACGTTGTTTATTAGCAAAGAGTCTATACCAGCAGTCACAAAGGAATGGTTTTTAGTCCCATCCAGTGAGTGGAGTAGCTGGGCACCCCTACCCTTCAAGTTCGGCACCCCTTTGTGACTGCTGGTACATTATTACAATAAGAGTCTTTTGTTGCTTTTAATTTTAATGGTCAACCATGGTCGCCACCGCCGGACCATGCATCGCTCCCATCGGGTGCGTTGAAGCGAAGAACCACACACCGGTGGAGCGAGGGAGACGTGAAGCCTCTTGGTTAGGTCATCCATGACACCTGCGAAGGGTAGAAGGGTAGAAGGGCAGTCGGTGTCTTTAGTTAGTTTACATATGTTTACATGATCTTCTTTCTTGGTGGTGACCTGTGACGTGCGCTTTCACCAACTGTACCTGTCGATTTGTTCTCAGGCAAGAGGGACTTTTCACGGAGACCGATACCATCCGACACCTGAATATAGGTACTGGAGCCCGAAACGAGCGCTGTCACCAATTCATTCTTGAAACAAATCATCTCAACAATCGTATCGAGAAAGACTCTGTTGCCCGCATTTTTTTTGCAGTTTCAGTTACCCTCCAGGTAGACAGTTCTTAGCTCAGAGAACTTTGCTTCTGTGTCCGTCCGCTCAGCCGTTTTGGCACCTGCGCCATGCTCTCTCCGCCTACCGGGCCGCTGTTCCTCTCTCCGCCCACGACCGCGCCGCCCTCCGCGTGGCTCTCCGCGCCGTGGGATGCCTCGCGCCGCAGCTGGGGGCGCCGGGAACGCCCCTGGGCCTTGATGATGGTGACTGGGTCCATCAGAGGCCTCGTGTGCTTTCGGAGAAGCACGAAGGCGACGCTGAGATGCAGATGGTTTGTTGGCTTGATTGAATCCGGTCAATAGAGAGACCGGTGATCAGTATGAGGACTTCACAGCAGCATTAAAGGGCAAATAGGTAGGATATGGTGGGGTATGTTAAGTTTGGAGTGCCACAGAGAAAGTGGTAGCGTGGTGGTCAGCCGGGCTGCTTGTTGTTTTTGTCATTTACCAGATCGACTTGTTTTGCTTCCCTGAATGACAATGCCAAACACCTCTCCAACCACCAATTTTGGTAGCTGCAGTGCCAGTCTGCGCAAGTCTTCTATTTTTGTGGAAGTACTTAAAATATGGGCCGTCCCCCAAGTTTTAACCTTAAAACCATTTCACCGTTGGGTGAACCAATCCATGTCGTAGACGTCGTGAGCTGACGGACCGTGGTTTCGGCCTGAGGAGGAAATTGAAGGACATGCAGATGACAGAGCTGGAGCAGATAGAGAAGACGCCCAAGAAAGTGCCCGCGAGACAGAAGAGCAAGAAGAAAGAGATTCCAAAGGCTTCAGAGTCAGATGTAGAACTTGAACTGACCAGTTTGGAGGCGGAGGATCTTCAGATCAAAAAGCCGACTTCCAAGTCTGGCAAGAGCAAGAAGGAGCTACAGATGTCGCCCGAGGAGTCGGTGCTTGAGAAGGATGAGACGAAGCTGCGGTCACAGAGTGGACCGGGGCAGGACAAAGCGGTGAGGGCAGTGGACACTGAGGAGTTTCAGGCCGACCGAGCTGAGGCGGAAACCAAGAAGTGCCAAACAGTGGTGGCCGCTCCAGTCACTGCCGCTGAGGAAGAGATGGAAGTGAGCCACACACGAGGGAGAACCTGGGACGCGGCAAGCGGTGTTCGGATGATGGACTTTTGGGGTTCCCGAACAGGGTCAATCCCCCCCAACCTGGCCGCTTGTTTCGGTCTCTTTTTCTTCTGGCGTC